GCTATAACTAGGGACACACACACACACATGGTGCTTACAGTGAGCATCATAAGTACGACCTTGCAAAAGGCATCCTGGAGTACAGTAGTTGGAAGTGACTCCCTGTAAACTGTAGCTAGCAAAAACTAGTGACTAGTGGCAGTGTGCTTATATAGCAACAAGTAGACAGAAATAACATACCGAGATTTGTGCTGAGGCCACGCGTGGACATAACGCGACGATCCCAGAGAGACACCTTTCGTGAGCCAGGAAATTGCAGACTGCAGCCCAAGTAAACAAACAAACAAAGCAAAGGATTACTTGAAAGCTTCGGTTATTGCGTATCTGTGCCCCCACAATGCACGCGGAGAGCCCAGGACGACGGAAAATAGAAAGTTATATGGGCGTCTGTATGCATAGGTGCGCAGCGTATAAAAGAAACATTCATGCAAACATTATGGCGCAAACTGCATCCTAAAAAGTACTATGTTCCTGCGGTTACCGCGGGGAATATTTACAGAGCATTCGTAAACCCCACACCAGATGATTCCAAAGACGCACTTAGTAAGGGTTGAATTGCCAAGAAGCTTTAACGCCCAGACGTTTAATTCACAGCCCTGCTCAGATGAAATTTGCTAGCATAACTGAAAGACTACCCGAGATCTCTGTAGGGTTGACCTGGGGGTGGACAACAAAGAAGCCTAAACCTAGCACCTCTGTATAATTTAGGTTATGGTAGATAGGCGCTCACCAATCGACTACAGGACTCACTTGGCCCGTTGTGCCCTAGGACTCTCACTCTCGAGTACCGCCAGCACTCACATACCGGCTAATGGTATAGGAAAAAGAATAACATTACTGACAAAAACCAAGGAGAATGGAATGGCCATTTTTGGCTTATTAGCTTTTACCAGCCAGTCATTCCCAACCCCAGGTGTTGCGGCAACCGAGGCTGGCGCGCCTCAGGAGTGAATCTCAGGGCAGGATAGGACGATTGCATCCCGTAAACGATCGCTGGACGCGCATCTACCATTCCCGATCGAAATCGGCAAGGCAACGAGCGCATGGCGCAGTGGCTGGAATTCTAGCTAACAGGTGGCGGATCCACGTCTCGAGTGTTGCAGCACCTGGAGTTAAGTAGGGCTGGTTGATGGCGGCTAATAAGCCAGACATGGCAATTCCAGTCTCCTTTGTCGTTGTCAGTAATTTTCTTCTGTCTACGTCATTAACTTCGGTTACCAATAGCCCTTGACCAAAGGGTACACAAATATTGTCCTTGTGCTAGACTAGAATAGTCCCCGAAATGCAAACCAAACCACGTGATAAACAGTGAAATTGGGTGAGTTTAAGGAGATTCTAGACACACGTGAACGCCGGCGAACGCAAAGAGTGCCGGCGAAATCGAAAGAAAGCGCTACGCTCCTGAAAGTGCAAAATACGTCCGTATTGGATGAGGCCAATATCTAGCCCGACGACTAGGATATGATGGCATAACTGGGAAAAGCTCTCTATTGAGATGCCCCATGACACAGCCTTGTCGCAAATAAAAGGGATTCAGACGTACTTACAAGGCCAATTTGTATCATTGAAGGAAAATATAACCCTAACAGTGGAAGTTAGTTTAGGGTGAGTGAGGCTCTTAAAGAGATAGCCGCTGTCGACTTAAGTGAGGCACACTTCACGTGGGTGGACCTCAGAGACCGGAGAGGTGGTCGGCACCAGCACGATACAGTCAGCAAAAAATTCGCGTCCTGAGAACAAGGACAGGAGGTTTTGTTAGCATAATTCAAACCCCAAGGAAACTTATGCGGTCGGGTGAGGACTTCGGTAAAACACGGGTTACGATCGCACTTCGAAAAAGAAGAAACTGCTTCATCGGCTATCACCGAGCAAAATACTATCAACGCGGATATAAAGCATCCAAACGGAATTCCCTTTCACTGGGGGAAAGAGGATTGCAGAAATGCTAAACTTCGATACTTTAAGTCAATTGAGGCGATAAATGGAGGGGATAAAGGGCCCGTATAACCCGTGTTGTTACAGGTCCTGGAATCGCAGATCTGGCCATCCGCCGAAGCTCCATAATTCTTCAGAACATATCAGCAAACGCGGGTCAAGCTTCACCGTCAGGTGATGACCTAGCATGTTTGTGCCCGCCATCCGCTGAATGTACTTCTCTAATACTAGGGGCTTCTGGGTACCAAGAAGTACGTTGCGTACAAGTGTCAGGCAACGGCTGACTTTTGATAATGCTCACGAAACCAAACTAGGTGAAAAAAATCGATTGACCATGATTTCACTCGAGCCTTAAAGCTATCCAGCCATGGGGTGATACTTCGGTGGTCACGGCGTTTATTTTCAGAGCAACTCTTAGGGACGGAGTGATTGTGGATCGAAGTGCGAAGTACTGACAACGTGAAAGGAGAGTGGGATGGTCAGTTCTGGGTTATTTGCTCGCGCCAGCCAAACATACTGAACTCTAGATCTGAATGACTGAAGATTAGATGCCGTATTGTAAGGCTGTTGAGGTTTTAGCCCAAAGCTCTGTAATTAAGCCACGGCCCGTTGTTCTGTCAGTTGTGATAGGACTATTAAAACCCATAGGAAGAGCGTCCAGTGACCAGTTTACGGCACATACTTATCTACTTGTGCTTTGGGCCTCAATTTAGTGCCGTCGCAGGCTGTCGTATATTGGCTTACTATGTGCACAGAAAGGGAGTTATCAACAAAGGAGAAAAGAAGGACTGAGATGGTCACCTCTGGCTCATTAGCTGTCGTCAGTCGGTCACACCGAATAGTGGGTCTGGATGACCTGAGACTCGACACCTTCGTATGCACCGCGTCAGGCGAGGACTCTATTGGCTGACTGAAAGTATGATATCTGCCAATACAAGCGAAACTGCAAGTCCCGGTTATTAAGTGAGAAGAATTAGATGCGATCACGGGAACAACAACTGCATTCGCCGTATCTGATGCCGTCGCTGAAGATGGGTTCGAACTGGAATTCGAAACGTCAGGTGAATAAAGTTATTGTCCCAGTGATCTCGTCTACCTCTTCTCAATACAATAGTTGCCTGTACTAACAATTTTTTTTAAATATGCGAGATGACCACGCTAAAACATAATGGTGGCTCAAAATAAGAACTACATGTTTAACCGTTGCAGATTTAGAGCGGGGCATACTCACCATCACAGGCGAACCCGGTACTTAGGGGGCTCCAAATTACTTCACTGCAGTGATGACAATAGGCAGGTTTGTTGAAAGATTTTCGGTAAAATGAGTGTCCACCGGCCCTACGTGTGAGTGCGGCTTCATCGAACAAGTTGACGAGTGGTTCTTCAAATTCGTTGGCACCCACGGTTTTAGCTTCGTCCGCACTGGCCGCAAGCGGCTGGACAAGCTCCTCAGTGCTTGGTTCTGCCACCGCGAATTGGGGAGAGAAGGCGTGACCAGACTCGTTGGGAAGCCTGGTAAGTGTCTGTTGCGAACTGCCTGGGCTTTCTGTCAGCATCATCCTGTAGGAAAAAAGTGGATATTTTTGTTCAAAAGGCCATATTTTACTCACAAAAAGCAAACAAACTACGACAAACAAAAGATGGAAATCAAGTTCTGTGAGAAATAACACGACTTGCTACTCGAACAGCCATATACTTTTTTGGGCAACGGTAGCTTGTGTAGCCCCATTTATTAATCCCTACAACCTGCATGTTTTTCTACGAAAACGGTTTTTATCGGGTTTTATGGGCGGAAAATTAGGACACGCAGTGGAATATGTTTAAATAAACGCCAAATGCACTTAATCCTACTGTATTTAGAATTGTTAGTGATTTGTATATGTAGATTTTCCTAATCTCTATTATCATTTAACTCATTGCAGAAAAACCCGATAATCAAACTGCAGGTTTCTC